CCATAAGATTGATTTAATCAATTATTTGAGGTTTCTGAGGTGCGTCCACCCCGTCACTTAACTTGCTAAAGCAAGAGCAACTCCAGCTAGCTAAGGCTAGCTTTCGTGACTTCCTACAGCCCATGTTCGCCCACACCTCACTGCAGTGGAACTCGCCAAGGTCCATCCCCTCAGCGACAAAAAGTGGATTTGCCACAACTTGCAGCCGCCCACCCTAGCGTGAAACCGGTGCTCAAGATGAGGAACTAATTGCAGACTGCGATCTCAGACAAAGACGACCAATGGCGTCACTTCACCAGGTCGGCTTGGTTGTCTGAGGACCTCCACAAAAAACAACAATTGTTGCTTGGAAGAATCACGAAGAATGTCCAAACACGATGTTCGAATCAACTTGGATATCGATCTCCAAAGAGCTGTTTATATACTGTAATGATTGGAGGAGCTAGTTTCCAAATCTATGTCCGGTGTTTCTCTCAGGCTTCCTCCCTTTCTCATCTTTTCTCTGCATTTGGGCGATTTTGAGCGATTAGGTCAGCAAGTTTGGCGCAAAGCTGAGAGCCACTGCCGATTAAACAGTATTGCACAATATTGAAGATTGAAAAGGCCTCCAGCAGTTGCTGCATCACTCTACGGGCCAGGGAGGCCTCGACAACAAAGCGGGTCCCGTCGTCTGTCGCTCTGCTGTCTTCCATCCCAAAAGAACACCAGTTCCAAGCTCTCGACCACTTTTTACAGGGATCAAATATGAGTTTTGACATTTTTTACACCATATTCGGTCCATTTCCTTTGATGTTCCTTTGCAGATTGACATCTTGATCAATGTTGATCAGTTTCTCAAGTGGATTTATCTTTGGTCTCCGCCTGGCCACGGCACAAAAGCCAGATGAGAGTGTCTGGATGATATGCCTCGGTGAGTTTTCATGTAAGAAAAACATTCTGCATCGGTGATATGTCCTGGCAAAGAGTCCAAGGAGCAAACCGGGCACGGCACAGTAGCTTGCAGGCATCCTGGTACAGTCCATGCAGCGGGATCAGACGATCTCTGGGCTATTCCAAACTATTTCTCTGTTTAAAGATGCTAGCATCAACGTCACTTTGTTGTGGCACTTCATATTTGCAAATATGAACAAGAGGACATCAGAATTTGACCAGTCGCCCCAAAGAATTGAATAGACATGAGTTTCTACAGTGAAGAAAATGATGTAGTGCATCCACTTTTGCTTAGATGGCTTAGTTGCAATCAATTGCACCTTGCGCAGCTTGCGGTAACGAAGCCAGCATCAAAGCAGGCCTTGCCATTCACGTGGCATCAAATGTTGACACAGTGCACCGTTTTGAGGTTGGCCGAAGCCTTGAGGCGTGACCACCCTGCCTGCGGCTTCCCTCAGGGTGCCCAACCTGGCCCATGGGAAGACCAAGATGTGCAAACTTTGCTCAAAAGAGCAAAAGAAAACGCGTCAGAAAGCTGCGATAATTTGAGTAAGTGTCATGTCAGGTCTCTCTCTCTCTCTCTCTCTGACCCAAAATCAAGGAATCAAGGCTGAAGTCACGTGGAGGACAGCCCCAGCATCTGGACACCAAGTCTGTGCTTGCGGTTCAAACGGCAGTGCCTGACAAAACGAGGTTGTAACGAGACATCCGACCAAATTAGAAAGCAGGTCATCCGAAGAGATTCTACTGCCTCTGGATGCAAGTCGATGGCGTGCCATGTGTAGCCCGTCGTGCCATATTGGCCTAGAGAGCAAGTGGCCAGAAGCTGAGATCAGACACGTCAATCTGTCGAACGTCATGAGTTCGTCTGATATCATCTCGTAGATTCATCTGGACAGTTCATCTGTACATACATGCATATACACACATAATAATATGCATATATATACAGTATACATACATATACACAAAAGATATACATACAGACGCATATTAGTTCGCCATCTTCTGCTATGTTTATTCGAACAAAAGGCGGGAGTGACAGCAAGCATGGTATGCGTCCAACATGTATGCTGTATGTTCCTATCAGCTTTCCTTCAAAGGTCTTCGGTCTTGCAATCTCAGGACCATGTGGAGATTTCGTTTGTCTGCGGTATGTGACACTCAAAGAAGAGCGTGGAGTCGCTGGTACACTCCTTTCACTGCCAAAGCTTGGTGCACTTAAAGGATACCCCCGTGCAAACTACTAGTAACATAGAACCTGAGAATTGCACCTTGGAAGATCGCTTTCCTCTCCAACCGAGTGGATTTGGGGGTCCTTGTGAATCTGCAGGAGAGTACATTCCTGTCAATGCAGTAAGTGCCAGGCATAAGAGAGCGGATGCCGGCGCAACGAACTCTTCGGACTGTGCTGCCACCAACACCAGCAAGGCTCCCCCTGCACGTCGCCCGATTGATAAGCTGCCCCTGGCAAAGGAGGCTTCATCCTTGGAATGCTGCGGTTCTGTGTCCGATGTCCTTGGAATGCATGTCAAACAGGTCCGATGTCCGGTACAGCGCTCGGTTTCTCAGGTCCATACAGCACTTTGGGACCTCGCGCGCCCTGGGTGGCACGAGTGAATCTAGTGACCAGGTCCCTCTGGCTGATGTTCAATGAAGCTGGGAGGAATACAAGTTCAGAGACCAAGCAACAAAGGGCCTTCTGAGGACATCGCTTTGTAAATTTATATTACTGTAATTGTTTGTACTTTGGCATCAGAACTTTTGCGTCATTATTCTGATAGATAACGGGTTCCTCAACTGGATGGACATCTGCAATCCTAGACTCTCATCCGATCCAGAGTCCTGCACTTTGCTATCAAGACGATTCGAGTGTGCGCATA